AGATCAATAGGGAAATAGGACTAGTACTTAAATCTCATCTCTTTCTGTTAAGTGAATATTATACAAAATGTCATCTCCTCCTCCAGAACAAAAACAAAACAATGAACCACAAATCAATCATAATACAGCCAACATGTATTGGCTGATTATAGTTTCCTGGTGATGTGATAAATGCTTTAGATACACAAGCTTACTTAATCTTCATGAGCAATTTATGATGTGTATTATCATTTTCCCTTTGCAGAAGAGGAAATCTGGTTTGTAGCAATTTAAAAATCACACAGTAAAAATCCCACTGAGGTGGGATTTTACCTCAGTCCCCTCTAGTGTCAAGCCTAACCCTGCATTCTTACCCACTGTAGAGAACTGTCTTCCTCCAGCCCAGGTGTCCATCAACAGATGTACGGATAAAGAAAATGTAGTATATATAACAATGAAGTTTTATTCAGCTATAAAGAATAATTAAATTATGGCATTTGTAGGAAAATGGATGGAACTAGAGATCATCATGTTAATGGAAATAAGTCAAGTTCAGAAGGTTAAGGGTTGTATGTTTTCTCTTGTATTCAGAAGCTAGAGTGGAAAAAGGAAAACAAAGGTGGAGGTAGATCTCCTTAAAACGGGGAGATCAGTACATAAATAGGACCAAGGGATGGAAGATAGGGAGAGAGCAGGGGAATGCTGGAGAGTGATATTGGGCAAATGACACTGTCATATTTTATTTTTGTACAAATATGTAACAAATCCCGTGAATACGTACAACTATAATACACCAATAAAAAATGTGGAAAATAATTGCACACACACACACACACAAATGTGTTCCTGCCTCCAGATGTTATATGATAAACTATACCAGAAAAAAGCAGGCATGATCCAGGAATATTTCTCATGATGATTTTGGTATTGCAACTAATTTTCCCCCACTTATACCCTAAGTGAGTGACTCAACTTTCCCTCCAATTGTCCCAAAGTGGTAAGGTAGATCCAACATTGAAGCTTCTCTCTTTATCGCCTCTTTTCCACATGCCGTCAATTTTCAATCTCACCAATTTGAGCTCTCTTAGAGTTTCTCATATCTTTACATATCTTTTTGTGCCTGTCACTATTATAGTTCTGACCATCATTGTTTTTCTACTGGTCTGCAGCAAAATTTTCCTAGTCTCCTCATATTTCACTTTACTGTTTCCAATCATTACTCATAAATAAAAGCATGATTTATCTCTATAAAGGGCACCTACACGTTTGCTTACAGTGAAACACCCTTGTCTGTAGAATAAGATCTATAGTATACATGACACATACAGCCCTTGATAACCCAGACCCTGTATTTTATTTTCCTCTCTTACCATGCTGAAATACGTACAATCACAAACATACAGTGCTTTTGTATCTGGATCTCTGTGCATACCATTTGTTTTGATTGGATCACCCTCTACTTCTCCTGGCACTTTTCCCTGGTTTTCAAGTCCAGTTTAGATGTTTTTTTGTTTGTTTGTTTTTTGTTTTTTGTTTTTTGTTTTCTTTTGAGCAGAATTCACTGATATATCAAGACTGAGCGAGCTGCCCACTCAGGGTTATTCATTATTGCAGGACTTGCCACACCATACTGTAACTATCAGTTCACCTGTCTTTGTCCTTTGCTACAGTGGGTGTAACCTAAGGATGTTCGAAGCCCCATAATTTTGTCCCTGTTACAGTAAATGGCAAAAGTTCAGGAGCATTTGTGGAATGAAAGAAGATAGACTGTAGAGGGTGGCCGAGAAAGGGGAGATTAAGAGGTGAAGGAGAAAGGGATAAAAAGATAACCGAGAAATAAACGGAAGGAGGAACAGAAAGTGGAGGGAAGGAGAAAGGGTAAAGGAAAGAAGAGGAAGAGGTTAAAGGAAGAAGAAGAAAGGAAATAAAAAAGGAAGGAAGGAAAAAAATTAAAAATGGGAGAAAGGGAGAAAAAAACGATTGGAGGAAGGGTATGTGGAGCAAGAGCAAAACAGAGAATATTCCCATTAGGTTCCTAATGGAAGTGTCTAGGGAACTTCAGGAACCACTTGTCCAGTGACCAGCCATCTTTCTGGGGTTGCAGACAGAGTCAGGAAGTCTGATGTTAAAGACAGCAAAGACCAAAAAGAACCCTAGGAACATGTGAGTTTAATTTTACAATTAAAGAATATGAGCTGCAGTGAACTGCAGACAGGAACAGCAGACAAGAGCTCATCACAATAGAAGGCAGTTAATATGGGACATGAACACAGCCTTGAAAAATCTCAGGCCCAAGTTCTCTTCACCACAATGGTCTTTCCAGAAACACAATGAACCTTGATGTAAGAGCAGGATTTTAGCTTAGGGCCTTGGATCTGTGATTTAGGGCTGTGCACAGCACAATCCTGGGTGCTTTTTTAATTGTTCAAACATTTAATACAAAGAACATTCACTCTTCAAGGCAGGTACACTGTAGTAAGACCAAAGAATATTTGAGCTCTTTCAGCCCCTTGCTTCATGTTACTCATCTTAATCCTCTAACGAGCCTTGAGCTTTTCCTCACTCTGTATTTTTGCCACATTGTCCTCTCATCTAGAAGGCCCCTGCTGCCATTGCTACCTTTTGAAATCCTTTGCGTCTTTGGGAACCCTTGCTCAAAACCTCTTCTTTGATGAGACAGGCTTCAGTGTCCCTAATAGGAAATAATCGCACTATCATATCTATTCCAGTAGTGCTTTGTTCATTTTCTTTTCTCAAAATATGAATTAACCAATGTGTTTTATTATACTTGTATGTCCCTTTCTTCCACCTTCAATGTACACCGCGGGAAGGCAGGACCCCATTCTTGCCTTTTCTTTGCCTTCCCTTATAGGATTAGTCCAGTAACTTTCATATGACATATGCTTTTTATATTTGTAAGTTGAATTGAAACATAAAACCCATTTTCTAACTCTCATGCTTATATCATCCTAAAATATTAACAAAGCTATGACTCTCTAATACTTCTCACATTTTCACAGGTATTCTTCTTTTCTTCCTTAACATTTTTATTGTGTTCACTTTTGTGACTTAAAGTGAGCTATTAGGATGGACCACAGTGATATATAAAGGAGAAAGAGTGGTATAATTGAGTCAGTGAGAATCAGAACTTCCAAATTTGTGGATAAAATGATGATTTCGTATCCTGGCCCAATGAAGAAATGGCTAGTATGACAGATTCCTGTCCCTTCAAAAATATTGACAAGAGATCATTGAAAGAGAAGGGGGCCTCACTTGAAATAGGGTTCTTCCTTACATATAAAGACTTCAATCTTCCATTTTTGATAACAGAGAACTATGAAATACTCCCTGACTCTTGCTCAATGTTAGTGAGGATTTACTTGAGGTGAATGACCTGGACTACTTGTTCTATTAATTTTAATTAGGTGTGTTCTTATACAAGGAAGATGGTAAATCTGTTGGATGTACTGAAATAAAAGGAAGAAGGCCTTTAAAAGCCAGGATTCCCAATCTTTCTCTGACAAGTCTTGACTCTTACCTTGCCTAAAACTCTATTTCTTAATAAGTAAAGTTAGAAACTCTGTCACCTTAAGCAGAAAGCCTTTCAAATTGTTTCAGAAAATACTGTCACGATGTCTTTGGATGTGATTTTGTGTATTTTAAAATCATTTTGTAAGAGTGCAGTTGTAAGTATGCTCAAGTCCAGCATATTTCTCTGTTGATCACTTACTATTGGCAGTCTGGATAATGGCAAACTAATGGCAGTAGAATGTTTTATCTGCACTTTTCCCCCAGCAGTCTCTAAAAGGCTTTTATTTTTCATTCACTGCCAGATAAAATATATCACTGGACTCACTTTAAAGGAGACATCCTTTATGGTAGTTCAATTCTATCACTGATTTTAGAAATATAATTTTCTAGCACTAAGGAGTTATTTATAACTCCACTGGTTTTGAAATGTCATGTAGATGTCAGAAGAAAATTAAAAGCAAGAACAAATAAACAGCAAAAATAATGCACACCAAAATAGAAAGATAATTACTTTCCATTTCTAACTCCAACTTGAGTCTAATAAATAATATTAGAAGAAAAAAAAAACATACCAACGTGCTCTTTAGTATCTTTCCTAAACTTTGCAGAAATGACAGTACAGCATTTGTTAGGATAAATTGTTCCCTCCAGGATGTACATAAAAAGGCAAATTGTGTCGCTGTAGATTCTTTGAGTTCCTGATACATCGTTTATTTCTCTTACCCACACTTTCCTAAAGCTTACTAATGAATAGCTGCTGATGCCAAAGATTAGGCTTTTGCTCAGTTCTACAATTCTCAGATTCCTATGGCCACAGAAAATACTTTTGAACTTCAAATGTACTTCTTTCTGAGCTTCTTCAGTGAGAAAAATAAAATCTTCAAATGTGAACTTCCTCCTCTCTTGCATAACAGGCAGTTCTCATATTTAAGAAAGGATATTTTCTAAGTCCCTGTGGAAAACTTTCCTCTGGAATGTTTTATTCAGCTTGGAAATTCAATAAAATGACATTTTCCTATTGTCTACCAAGTGGGGAGGTTTTATATGCCTTGAGTTGGACTACTTGATGTCTTAGATTATTAGCACCACTTTAGAAAATCTATTAAGTTCCCTTAACGCTGTCATCGAGTCTAACAAAAAGGCTGTTACTGGAACATTGTTCAGTTTGGTGCGTGTAGCAATGGAAGAGGTGAATTTCTGGAGGACTCTGCCAGGAATGATGGAATTATACTTTATTGAATTTCACCTTATGAAAAATAGGGATTATGAAGTTATTTCATCTGTAAAATGGGATGACAGCTGTTTCTACCTTGAAAATTAGTGTGAGGATTAAATGAACTAATAATGTAAAGATTTAAGGTCATAATTCTGCCCCTGGTGGCTATCTTTGCTATCATTAATCCTAGGAAGTGTACTGAGGTTTACATATGGCAGTGGGGCTGGGAGGAAATTTACAATGGGGGTCAAAAAAGAAGGTGCAGACTTCTTACCTCCAGAGAGTCATCCGCATTCACCATCCAACAGTCTGTCCAGGTGGCCACAATCAAAAATCCAGTGGAGAAAAAGGCAAAGAAACAGGCGACATACTGAAGAAGATCCTTCATGGTGGTGAATAGTCTATCCGGAAGGGACACATGGGCAGATGCCAGCTTTGGGCCTACTCAGGTGCCTGGATTGCTATTGGCCTTCTGCTTCTGGTACCTGTAGATGAGAAAATGCAGGTCTTTTACTTTTCTTCACACCCCACTGCAGGTGCCTTAAGTTTCATTAAGAATAATAGAAACAGGCTGTAACCGACAGAGGGGTCCTGGAGGTTATAATCCAAAGCAAACAGCCTCCAATCACAAGCCAGGTCAGAAAAAGGACTGTGTACATTTTGGATGGGGGAGAGAGGGAGCCCTGGTAACATTCCTGCCCAGACTGTGCTCTGATGCAAAAGGATGGTCACCAGAGGCATGTGTCAGTACCAAGATGGAGGAAAGGAGGCAGGTCCCACCCCATACTGGAGACTGTAAATTGATCTTTCTTAGGACCTTCAGGGAAAGTGAGCTATTCTCCTCCCCCTTAGAAGAAGGCTTCACAGTTGACCGAGTGCTATTTTATTGTTAGGACTATTTTAATATTCACTGACTCCCTTAGACAGGACCCAGGTGAAATTATGCTAAACAAGTGCTTGCTCAAGGGAGTTTGCATTCCAAAGTGCTGGGCAGAAAAGCCCCTTGAAGGATTTCTAGCACCTGGGTAGCAAGCAAAGAAAGGATCCCAACCTTTTAGCATCAGAAACTGGGGGAAAAATGTGCATATAAAATACTTAAATTTTCAATTGACACATAATATTTATGCTTATTTATGGAGTGCAATATGAGTTACTTCCAGATGTTTTATAAATTAAAGGGATAAAACACACACATGTGAAAGAAACAAAACAAAAAGTAAAATAAAACATAAAATTAGTTTTTTTAATACAATCAATTTGCAACAAGTAAAAAATGCAATATTTTTTACAATGCTTGCTTAATATAAAATATGCTCTTTTTTAATGTTATTTTTATTTTTTAATTTTAATTTGTTATATATGACAACAGAATGCATTACAATACTTATTACACATATAGAGCACAATTTTTCATATCTCTGGTTGTACACAAAGTAGAGTCACATCCTTCGTGTCTTTATACATGTACTTGGGGTAATGATGACCATTGCATTTCACCGTTTTTCTTACCCCTATATCCCTCCTTTCCACTCCCTCCCCATTTCCCCTTTGCCCTATCTAGAGTTCATTTAATCCTCCCATACCACCCCTAGCATATTATGAATCCGCATCCTTATGCAGGCATGTGTGTGTGGGGGGGGTGTATTTTCAATGGTTTACTATTTCCTTAATTTTTAAACATGTTAGTGAAGCCATTCTAAATTATTTACAAACATGATATCATTTAATCTTCATAAGCATCTTATGAAGAGATATTAATCCCTTCATTTTACAGAAACTGCATCCCCAAAGCTCTCTGTCTACAGAGTTTCAGAGCAAGATTATACTCTCAGAGCTGTCTGGATTAAAGTGTTTATTTATAAATTATTACAGTCATTATGGAAACAGTATGAGGTTCCTCAAAAAACTAAAAATAGAACTATATATTCCAGTGAACTCACTACTGGGTATATATATCCAGGGGAAACTAAATCAGTAGGCACTCATCCTTATCTATTAGGTCTCTATTCACTAGAGCCAAGAAATGGAAACAATGTACATGTCTGTCAGCTGATGAATGAATAAGATGTGATATTGTACACAAAGACATACTAGTCTGCTATAAAATCACAACATCCTGTCATTTGCAGCAACATACATGAAACTGGAGACCATTGTGTTAAGTGAAATAAACCAGGCACAGAAAGACAAGTACCCCATGATCTCACTTCACATGTTTTAATGGAACCTAAAAGAGGTTGACCTTGAAGAAGTATAAAGTAGAATGGTGCTTACCAGGGACAGGGAAATGTACAGGAGGATTAGGGAGAGTTTAGATAATGAGTACAAGTTACAAATGGTAGGAATAAGTTCTAGTATCCTATTCCACCACAGGGTAGCTATAGTTAACAATATAGTATGTATTTCCAAAGAGCTAGAAGAGAGGGTTTTGAATATCCTTTTGATCTGATGAATAGGCCTTTAAAATGACCACTACTTTTCCTCTTTGTGGGTTAATATATATTGCTGTTGTGCTATGAGAGTCTTTGTTGATTTTATTAATTCTATTCTTTCACCAAAGATATTTGACTTTTCTATAATTCAGGCTTTCCCTCACTCTTCATATCTTTTTGAAGTTAGTAATCTGCTTGATATGCAGAATTGTGGTAAAGTTTATATGTTGGATGCATATGTTCTTTTTATTCATGAATCTGTTCCTTAGAAACATTTCAAAATTGGCTATTTTTTGAAGCTGTGAGTCCCAGAAAAGAAAAGTGGCCTCGGAATTGTTACCAAAAGCTATTTAAAGCAGGCAGAAGATGGTCTCTCTCTTGTTCTCTTGCACGCTTTGTCCCATTCACTGTTTCTTCTCCATTTGAGTCAGACCTCTCAACTTAGCCTTTGAAAGGGTAGGGAATAAATTCTGATTTAGAAATACCAAATAAAATCAGGCTCTTTTTTTCCCCTCTTTCAAATATCTTAGACAAATTATATTTAAAATTTGTTCATGTATTGATGTTGCAAAATAAGGCATCCTCCATATAAAGGTTTTTAATTAAGAGTTAATTATTTGTTTCCTAAAAGTCGGTTGCAAAAGATTTTAATTTTATAATTCTCATTAAAAGATTATCTAGCAATTTTTCTAAAAAAAAGTAAAAATAGCTAAGTTTTAAATGTTAACATGGCCAAGCATTTATTATGTTATTATTCTTTCTCCATGGACTGATGTTTGAAAAATGTGTCTAATGAAAAGGGAAAAAAACTGTCTGATTAGGAAAAGTATTTGTTTTTTATAATTGAAGAGGTAACTAGAGTTTCACCTACATTTCACCTATATTTGAGTGGGTAGACTTAAATGGGTATAAAATCCATGTAGCCATTATCAATTTTAAAAAAACTGAAAAAGATCACATATCATCATTTTAGATTTCTGTCTACTAAAATAACATTTTGAGTGATATTAATAAAATATATTTTCATATGGTTCTTAATATGAGACAATGAAAGAAAAAGGACAGAGGAAAGGCTTCCACAGATGTCATTACTCTAAAAAGAATCAGTTGCTGAGATAATTATTTCAGTAACAGCTCACAAAGAGATTACTTTTCTTCCCCCCACTCAATTGTGATTTGGTCATAGTGCTTAAGGTTAGAGGCTAAAAAGCTAAAATCAGTATTGATTAAAAAAAATCCTTCAAGAATATACTAAAATAATAAACTTTTGTGACTAAATGTTGTTGTTTCCAACTTTCATTCATTTTATTCAAGCATGATACAATTTACAATTAAATGTAAAATCTAGGTTAGAAGCTATATTTAGAATAGAAGACTAATAATTGTTATAAATGACAATATAAATGTTAACAGTAGTGATCACTAAATTTTGAGGTTCATTACAAATGCCCTTTTAGTGCATTGTAGCTCTACATAAAGTGGGGTTCATTTTGATATATAAATAAGTGTGCAATAGTTTTCTCCATGTCCATCCCTGGTACTCTCCATCTGTCTCTCCTCCTCTCCCCTCCTGATCCCCTTTCTGTATGTACTCTATTGTTTTTCCATTTATATATTTTAATTGGTGCATTATAGTTATATATAAAACCAAAATACATGGTGATGCATTCCTACAAGCATGTAGCATAATTTGGTCAACTTTGTTCAACTATGTTCTTCCCATTTCCCTCCTTCTTCCCTCTCTGTCTTAGCCCCCTGCTTCTCCTCTAATGCTCTTCCTTCTATTTTTGCTAGATCCCTTTTCTTATTCCTTTTTTCTCTCTAACTTCATCATGTGAGAGAAAACTTTAGACTCTTGACTGTCTGAGTCTGCTTTATTTCACTTAGCACATGTTCTCCAGTTCCATTTACTAGCAAGTGACATGATTTCATTCTTCTTTATGACCAAATGCAACTCCATTGTGTAGACATATGACATTTTTTTTTATCCATTCATCTATTGATGGGGCCACTTAGGCTGGTTCCATGATAATGTACTGTGGATTGCGCTGCTGTAAACATTGGTATGAATGTATCACTGTAGTATGCTGATTTTAGTTCTTTCAATTAAAAAAGAAAAATAAGAAGACAAAGAAGTTTTTTAAAACAATCTTTTTTTTTTTTTCTAATGTGCAGTTCTGGGGGTTAAACTCAAGGTCTTACACATACTAGGTACGCTTTCTACCACTATGCTACATCCCTAGTCCTATATGCCTTTTGTTTGATTTTATTTAACAGTTGGAAAAAATCATTCTTAGTTTTTTAAGTGCTTATCCAAAGAATGTAATCACCTATCTATGTAAGGCATCTACAACAAACACATGGTGTTTGATGAGTCACAAGTGAATCTTATGCCCTAACATTTGAAATGTTCATGCTCTATTGATCTGATGGAGCAAACCAGTTCCAAAACACATGCCCATTACAGGAAAGTCCTGGATTTGGCTGCTAAGCACCCCAGGGCAGTGGTTCTTAAGCTTGAGTGAACACTGGAATCTCCAGTATAACAAGCCACTTGTTATAAATACAGACCAGGGAGCTCCAGAACCAGAGAACCAGATTCAGGAAATTCGGAGCAGAGGCCAGAATTCATGTTTTACATATGCTTGGTATAAACTTCTTCTGAGACAGATGATCATGCTTGACACTAGTTCAGAGAAAGAAATGAAAAGCCAACAAGCTACTACTTTTAAGTTATATACTACAGATCATAAATAAACTGTAGGAAAGGTGATATCAGAATTGCAATTAAGTATTAATGTTTTTCCTACCTATCACCAATAGTAGATCCCCAAAACAAATATTAGAGCCTGATTCAGAGGAGTAATGAAAAAAGCACTGAGCATTCTCTCATGCAAACACACACATATATACATGTATTTCTGGAATTCAGAGATTCTTCCACAAGAAAAATAGTAGACTATAATTTACATCTTACTCTCAATATTTACTAGACAATGTTTGTGGGTGTGGGTGACAATAGAACTGCTCCTGAATTGAATGTAGCTACTTTA